TGAGTGAGGTGGACTAGATAATCTCTTAAATATTCCCTTCTTAGCCAGAGGCAGCTAGGTAGCTGTGGATAGAGTTTAGAGTCAGGAATGCTCAAGTTCAAATCCAGTCTCAGACACACCTATGTGACCCTGGCAAGTCACTTAACCCTCTGTCTGCCTCAGTTTCTTCAACTGTAAAATGGAGATAATAAGAGCATCTTCATTCCAAGGTTGTTGTGAGGATCAAATGAGGTAATATTTGTAAAATGCTTAGCACAGTGCTTGGCACATTAGGCACTTAATATTTATTTTCTTCCTTTCTGTGACTTAATTTCCTCAACTGTAAAAGGAGGGGTTTGACTAAATGACCTCTAAGGTTGCTTCCAACTCTAAAATTTTGATTCTTGTTCAAGAAAAAGGTAAGACTTAAGCTGGGTCTTGAAGGCAGAGAATGAAAGGGGAGTAGACATACTTCAGCATCTTCTCATTCTCAGGGGTCTTTCTTTCTGTAGGTGTTCAAGGGAAGAGGTCTCCAGACAGAACGTATAGCTCTCTACTTTCTCTCAGCATATTACTGGGTTTTATGAACATTTCTCCATATTTTTTAATTCCCTTGAGCTTCTAGATGCATCTGAACTAAAAAATTAAACTGCTACGTCTTTTTCCCCTCTAAAAAAAATCCAAACAAAAACCAGCTGAGGGATTGTGATGCCTATGATGTGAACCCCTAGAAACCTGCCCCTACTCAAGTAAGAGAGTGACTCTTACAATGACCAGATCAGGAAAGAATCAAATACCAGCTTTCAGGAGGCAGGAATGGGGAAGGAATTTGGTTAGCTAAAACCTTTGCCTAACAGATTGTAAAGGTATTTTAAAAAACAAACCAACCCCATCAATAAACATTTATTAAGCACCTATCATGTGCTAGGTTCACTTTTCTAAATAAGTGCTTCGGGATTTAAAAAAAGGCAAAAGATGGTCTTTGCCTTCAAGGAGTTCACAGTCTGACGGGGGAGACAGCACTCAAACAACCATGTACAAACAAGCTGTACGCAGGATAAACTGGAGATTATCTCAGAGGAAAGAATGGATTTAAGGGGGAATCAGAAAAGTCTTCCTGTAGAAGGTGGGATTTTAGCTGGGACTTGAAGGAAGCCAGGGAAGTCAATAAACCCAGATGAGGAGAGAGAGTATTCCAGACATGGGGGCAGCCAGTGAAAATACCACAGTTGGGAGATGGAGTTCCTTGTATGGGACAGAGCAGGAGATCACAGTCACTGGATAGCAGAGTACATGGGGTGCTATAAGGTGTGTTAAGAAGATTGGAAAGGTAGGGAGGTGGGTTATGAATGGCTTTCAACACCAAATACAGAATTCTATATCTGATCCTGGAGGTGATGTGAGGAGCTACTGGAGTTTATTGAGTAGGGGGATGACATGGTTAGACCACTTTAGGGAAATCATTTTGACAGCCAAGTGGAGGATGGACTGGAGTAGGGGAGAGACCTGGGGCCGAGAGATCAACTAAGAGGCTACTGCAGTAGTCCAGGGTAGTGGAAGTGTCAGAGGACAGAAGGGGTGCAAATGGAAGAGATGTTACAAAGGTAAAACTGACTGGCGTTGGCAATGATTGGATATGGAGGATGAGACAATGAGTCAAGGATGACACCCAGGCTAGGAGCCTAAGGCAGGAAGCCAGTTTGTCAGGCTGCAAGGTAGACAATAGAAATGGCCACCATTTTAGAACAAGGGAGGTATGAAATACCCAAGTAGCCACACAGATATTTAAACTTACTTTGCTGGCTCCCTCTGCTACCCCCTCCCATTTTGGCCTATGTGTCATCTGTTGTCAAACAAACACACCCTTGGGTAGGAGACCTGTGGTGACAGCATACACACACCTACCATATATACACCTCCTGCAGGGGATCCAGAAGTCACCTGTGGCTCTCAGGATGAAAGGGACCAGACCTCATCTCTTTTTACTTATGAAACGGCCCCTCTCTTGTTTTCATCATTTACTGTAACCCTGAGCAGCTACATAGAACTTTCAGTCAAAAAGTATGTTAATAGATGGGGTGGGAGAGAGGGGGACATAAGCTTCACGTCAATCTTTGACAAATTCAATTAAATTCAGCAAATATTTATTAAATGCCTATTGCATGCAGAATACCATATTAACCATATAGGGGAAAGTTTACAGATGATAGTCTAGTAGGAGATAAATCACAGATATTGATTATACATGTATATAATTAGAGAGCTGCAAAAAACTATTATAAAATGGGCTCTGAGGGAAAAGGGTTATTATCAACTAGAAAATCAGGGAAGGCTTCCTGGAGGAGATGATGTTTGTGACAAAGATGACAGAAATTCAACAAGTGAAATAGGGAAGTAGTGGGGAGAAGAGACTCGAAGATCAGAGAGGGAACAGTGGGACAATCAGAGACCTAGAGCTAAGAAAGCACAGGGAGGGTATAGGAGATGACAAGCGATCTAGTCTGGTGGAGATGGAGAGAAATAAGTAGTATGAGATAAAGCTAGAACACCAGGATTAGGCTAGACTGTATAGACGGCGCTGAGTGCCAGATCACCGAGCATGAAGTCCATGTGGCAGGCAGTATGGAGCTAAGAAAGCTCCAAACTGCATGAACAGATCCATGAAGATGGCCTGGAAGGGGGAAAAGTGGGCACGTACAAACATGTCAGGACGCTATTGCTAATAATTTTAGCAGATATTTAAATCTAGGTCTGATTCTAGACAAATCTGTGAAGCAAGCATTAAAGTCTATATGCTTTGCATAGTCGGAAATGTTACTGCTTCTAGTTTCTCAGCAGTATCATCCCATTAACCCTTAAGACATGACTATCCAAAAATCATACATATTGTTACACGTGTTGCCTATCTAAAGTCCCATTTTTACCTACTTATCTTTACATACAAAGTTCACTCATCCATATCCATTACACTTCATGAAACTGTTTTCTACATGGATCTTTTAGGGCAGGGGTGGGAACCTTTGGCCTCGAGGCCACTTATGGCCCTCTAGGTCTTCAAGGCAGGCCCTCTGACTGAATCCAAACTTCACAGAACAAATCTCCTTAATAAAAGGATTTGTTCTGTAAAACTTGGACTCACTCAAAACACTGCACCCAAGCACCTAGGCCTTGAGGCTCCAGGTTCCCCACTCCTGGAGGGTTTCAAGGTAGAAGCGACCTCAGAGATTATCGAATCCAACTCCCTCATTTTGTGGAAAAAGAAATTGAAAAAAAAAATCATCTATAGTACACTAAGCATCAGAAAGTTACAGAAGTGGGGATGCTTAGCCTGGAGATGAGTAGGCTTATTGAATACATGATTCTAGCCTTCAAGTCTTTGGATTCAGAATGTCCCAGGGAGTAGTCTCACACTTACTATATGACTGGCACAAGGGCTGATTTCTTTCCATCCCATCCTATCACAATATTCTTAATAATCTCTCAGAACGTCAGTTTCCTTATTTGTAAAGCAAAAGTGATAGTATCTGCACCCCTCCACAAAGGTGAGCTATTGTTGTTATTAACAAATAGAGCTGTCCAAAAGCAGAATGAACTGCTTGTGCATTTACTGAAAAGTGAGCGGGGGCGGGGGAGGAAGTTTCTCCACTAGGGAGGCTACCAGACTGCCTGTTGGGAATGTTAGAGTAAGGATTCTTATTCATATAGGTTTGGCTTAGATCACCTGCGGAGATCCCTTCCAGTTCTGAGTTCAATTCATATGTACTAAGTGCTGATAGTGGTGATAGGAAATAGGACCTATGATTTCATTGATGGGTTGAGAACCCCTATGAGGTCACAACCCACAATCTAAGAAGTGCTGAAGGGGTCTCAAGTGGAAAAGTTTTAAGAAGCCCTGGATGGAGAATTCCTAGGGGAGGAAACTTTTGCTCAAGGTCTCCCCCATTAGATGCTGAGCTCCTTGAAAGCTATATCCCCAGCTCTTAGCAGAGTAGCTGGCACACAGTTGGCACTTAATAAAAATACTTGTTGACTGCAGGTCAGCATCTTCATTTTGATTTATAGTTTTAGAAAGTTGCTTAGAGCACTGAAAGGTTAAATAGCGCACACAGCTAGTGTGTGTCAGAGACAGAACTTGAATGTGTCTCCTTGGCTTTAAGTCCATCTCTTGATCCACTATTTACATCACACTGACTCTTGATTCTAAATTATATACACACAGTAGTACAATGTGCAACAATGTGGCTCCCTACCTTTCCAATTTTTCTTGTACCCCTTTATTACCCCCCCACCCCCAATGTACTCTGCTATCCTATGACTGGTGTTTCTGTTGTTCCTCAAACAAGAAACTCCATCTCCCAACTTCTGGCATACAAGTGTGCATATATGTGTATATGGACACATACATATGTGTAACATGCATACACATATACACACACACTCACGCACATATATAATCACTGGTGCCCATAGACAACACCTGAATCTAACAAGCAAGCCTCAGTTGACAAAGCTCCTAGACTCTCTCTCCCATTAACTTCACGAGGATGGCTCATCTTTGGGTACTTTTCCAGTCGTCCACACTCCTCCCCCTTCACCTTCAGCCGGGATCTCCACCTACCCACCCAATATGCACAACCCCACCACCCCCCTTCCAGTGCCCTACGCCCATAATCCATCAGCCTTACACATCCGCACCATCCGCTTTACTCACTCACTCACGTTCCATCACACACACTCACACCCCACCACGTGTCCCGTCCGTCTCCCCGCCTCCCTGCCCAGAGGGATGCAGGCTGCTGGGCTAGGCAAGGGGCCCCCGCCGGGGCATCACATGAGACTGCCCGCCTTAGGCTAGAGGGAGGGGGGCCCCAGGAGTCCGCGGCCGGCGATTGGCTGCGGTGGAGATGCCGGCCGGCCTCAGGGAACACACACCCTCTAGCGGCGGCCAATGGGCGGCGGGCAGGGCGCGGGCGCGTCAGAGGAAGGCCAAGGGGCGGGCTCACCTCTCAATGAGCCACATTGTTGCGTGAAACTCCAGCGAGAGCAAGAGGACCTCCCGAACCCTCCGCCGTAGCCACCGCGGCCGCGGGACTTGAGACGGAGCAGAGCCGAAGAGCCTAGAGAGGCAGGAAGCGCTGGGGGATCCGGACACGCGGGGAGCCCAGAGCGGCGGTTCTGCCTTCGATGAATTAATTAGTCGCGCCGCCCATCCTGAGTTTCAATCTGATCAGTTGCTCCTGGAGTAACTCGTGTTTCTTACGGGCCAGTGCTGCAGTTTGCTGAAGCTTGGGTTTTGTCGAGATTATTTGGTGGCGGTCTATTATTTATTACTGGAATAATTTACCTGTTTAACGAACGTTGCCCATTCAACGAAAAAAGATTTTTTTTTGGGTGAGACGGCCAGATTTTAAACTTTTAATTCGTTCCCCTCCCCTTCCATCCGTTTGCTCCATCATTTAAATTGTCACGAGCCCTCCTTTTGAGGCGTCCTGAGAGCGGATTTGCCTCTAGTCTAGTTGCGGTAGAACGCTTGGGACTCTCGCCTGCCTCCACAATCGGCCTCGTCCACGCGCGGCCCCTTGCCGTTTAGATCCACGGCCCCTTCGCTTCCCCCTCACTTCTGTCCTAAAACAGGATCCGACTAGCCCCGTGGGGAACAGCTGGAACATGATAGCCTCGCATCTGCTCGCTTACTTCTTCACGGAACTCAACCATGACCAAGTACAGAAGGTAAGGCGAGGGCCGGGGAGGGGCTGCCCCCCAAAAGGGAGAAGAATATTTCTAGCTCTTGTCCTTCTCTCCCTCCGGGCCCGCCAGCCCCCAGGGGACCGAGAGATATCACCTCTTTCACTCTCGGTTGCTGAGATTTTTCTAATCCGCTCCCAGTGGCTTGGGAGCAGGAGCCCTATCCAGGACTCGTTTTACTCGGGGCAGCCGTCCAATTCCGGGGAGACTGGCGGTGGACCGACCCCTCCAGCCTTTCTTCTTTCCCCCACTCTGCCCCGGGGAGCCGGAAAAGACTTCTTCACTGCTGGGAAACTCCTCCGCCGAAGCCACGTCCGCTTAACGAAGGCCGGGGGGTGTGCGCGCACTTGGGTGGATGGGAGGGAGCGTGTGTGTCTGCGCGGGAGCGCGTGTGGTTTCGTGTGGGGTGTGTGTGTGTGTGTGTGTGTGTGTGTACACGTGTGTGTACGTGTACAGCTGGGGTGGATTTTCCTCCTCCACGTCCAGCCAAGAAAGGCACACGCTCTTTCACTTTTTTGGAGGGGGCCATGCCTTTGCGCACGTGGTTTGGGAGCCTACCGATAGGAACTACGGGAGGGGTTAGGAAAGCCTCGGTTCCTCCTTAGGCATACTATAGGTAGGGAAGAAGTTTAGGGAGAACTCAACCCTTCTTCGAGGATAGGTAGAGGTTACATCTGTGCCTGTCCCAGTTCTGACTTGGGCGGATTGCTTTGCAGTGTGGCGTTCAACCGCAACTGGACCAGGGGCAAATCCGCTCCCTGGACGGCTCAAATCGAAGGAGGGCTCTCCGCAATTTAAATGATGGGGCAAACGGGGACTTGGTTGGCCCCAGTACGTGTAGATTTGAGGGAAGGAAACTTCCCTCTTTTAAGTTCCTCTAAGTGCCTTGTGTGTCTTTCTCCTCCCCACTCCTAGCTGTTCCCCTCTACTCCACTGGGAGGGCTCTCCACCTTGGTATTCCCAGAGTCAAAGCGTTTGGTATCATTTAAGTGCCCTTTACTTTATTTAAACTAACTCAAGGAAAACAGGGACGAGCTCTAAGTTGGACTATGTTGGCCCCTGTAGTGACTGTTGGGTTAGAGGTTGGGAGAGGGGGTGAACCAAAGGGAAATATTTCCTAAGGCCCCTTCTGCCTAGCCATCTATGCTCGGAAAGCCTCATCCTATCCACGCCCACTTTCAGCTCATCATCATCATCTTCCTTTTGCTCTTTCTCATTTCACTTCTATAAAGGGAGTGGGATAGCAGGACATAAAAGAAACTATCTAGATTGAAAGTTTCCAAAAGTTTCTAGGGAAGGCCTTCAGCCCCAGGGTTTTGTGACTGCAGTGTTGAAATCCTTTCTGCCTTGGCACCTCTGTCGACTGTCTCAGTTGCCCCAGCTGTGGACCTGGCTAAAGCTCTTTCGAATGGGCTCTGGACCCTTCTTTATAGAGTTTCGATGGATTTACATGAAAAAAGCCCTTTTGCTAACCTCTGCTGTCTCGCTGGGCCTCCCCTCACCAGGTCTGTGGGGGTGACATAACCTCTTTTCCCCCAGTTCAAGAATTTAAAATATCTCTTGGCTTGGTGGCTCTAGTGGGAGGGAGGACTTTGGACTTGTCTTCCTGCAGAGCTTGGGATTGGGGGTAGGAATGGGGGATGAGTGGAGTGATTGATGTGTGCTGGGACTGAATGAATAGGCAAGCCTTGGCTCGGAATTGCAGTCTAGTGACTGGAGAGCACACTTCTTAGGGAAGGGAGGTGGGATGGGGAGGAAAGACAAACTTTTCCACATCAAATGGTTTGTCTACCTAAGACATTCCTTTAGCTTCAGTGAAACAGACATGCATGTTTGGGTGCCAGTTTTAGAGAGTCTGCAGTTACAGCAATCCCTAATCAGACATCCTGGAGAGCAGGTGGGTGAAAAGCACTCAGCTAAAAGCAAAATAAAATGTGATCAATTAAAATCTTGTTCCTTGAACTCTGACAAAATAACTGCAGATAAACCCACCTTGTGACAGGGCCTCAGTTTGGAAAAGCAACAGAAGAAAAGAGTGTTTTTGCTGAGTTTTATTCTGTATTTATAAGTAGTACTTGCCCACATCGCACTGTTGGAATGTAGTTTTAGGAAAATAGTGATTACACCCCCTGCTCAGCTCTTTTAATATCCTTTTATTGAAATAAAGTCTATGAGCAGGCTTGCCCTTGCCAAGATCTCTAGGACTATCTGTCTGCCAGGGAAGGAGAGTAGCTATTTGAGTTGTGCTTTGGAGGAATTTTTTTTTTCTTAAGCTTTGCTTTGAGAAATGACTAATGAATTGGTAAAGACAAAGTAGAAAAAGGGAAGAAATATTCACCTGGAGGTCTCTCCAGCTTGAGGAATATTCCCAGCCCCAAAGCATTTGGCATCATTTAGAGTGCCCTTTACTTTATTTAGATTCCTACCCTTTGGGAATATAAATGAATTTGTATTCCTAATAGGGAATAATAGTGGAAAGAGCATTGGAATGGGAATTTACAGAGACCTGGCTTTAGGCTGGACTGTGTCACTGAATTACCTTCCCTTTAACTTTTCTGAACCTATTTCCTTATCCTGACGATTAGGGTTTTTGTAAAAAATAGCACTTGAAAGTACTTTGAAAACTAAAGCATTATATGAATATAAAGTGCTATTATTATTAGTCTCTTTGGGTTGCTCTTAGCCCTTCAAGGTCTGTTTCCCCATCTGTAAAATGAGAGGGTTGGTCTAGGTAGTCTTTGAGGTCTTTTGCATCCCTAGTTCCATGATCCTGTTATCTCTATCTGAAAAATGAGGACACTGAATTAAATGATTTCTCAAGTCCCTTCAAGTCTAGCTCTAAATTTTGTGATCTGAGGGTTCCATAATCTTTGAAATCCTTTTTAGTCTCTCCTGCCCTCCCGGTCCCAATGCCACTTCTTTACTAGTATAGGCCACCATTACTTCATCTTTTTACTTGTCCAGACTAGGGCCATAGGATCCTGATAGGTCTTGCTTTCTAGCTGATGCCAGACAGATTAAAAAAAAATTTATTTATTTATTTTTAGTTTTAAACATTCACTTCCATAAGATTTTGAGTTTTAAATTTTCTCCCTCTCCGCCTTCCTCCCCAAGACTGTGTGCAATCTGATATAGGCTCTACATATACATTCACATTAAACATATTTTCACATTAGTCATGTTGTAAAGAAGAATTAGAATCAAAGGGAGGAACCATGAGAAAGAAAGAAAAAAAAAACCCAGCCCAACAAAAAAGAGCAAATAGTAAGCTTCCATCTGCATTCAAATGCCAAAGTTCTTTCTCTGGTTATGGATAGCATTTTCCATCATGAGTCTTGGAGTTGTCTTAGATCCTTGCATTGCTGAGAAGAGCTAAGTCTATCGAAGTTAGTCATAGCACAATGTGGATATTACTGTGTGCCAAACCAATTTTTGATGCCCCTAGGGTCTAGTCATGTGATCTTCCACTGAACAATCTTCCCTACCTCCCTAGGGCCTACCCAGTAAAGTTCAAATTGAAGGGCCTGTTTCGTATTCATAGTCCTTCAAAATCTGCCACCAAGCTAAGGTTCAGGGAGTTCAAGTGATTTGTCCACACTCAGGAAGCCTAACTAGGAGCTGGGACTGAAGTCTGGTCACCTGATGGTCCGTGATGGAAACTCATTTGTATTTACTTTCTGGTTACTTATCTTTGTGTTGTATCTCCCCTGGAGAACCTGGAGAATATAAACTACTTGAGGGCAGGAGTTGCTTCATTTTTTTTTTTTTTGTCTAGTATCCCTGGGTCTGATACAGTTCCTGTATGTGGCTGAATGCCTTAAATGCTTGCTTGCATTTAACACTTGCATTTAACAGTTTATTTAACACTAATTCCTGGCTTGGTTCAGCCAAACTGTACAGTGTCCCGAAACTTGTACCTGTCATGTTTTTGCCCACACCGTTCCCTAAGCCTGGAATGTTCTTCTTTCCCCTATTTTCCTGCCATCCTTTAAACCCAATTCATAAGTGCAGCCTGCTTAATGAAGTTTTCCCCAGTTGATGACAACTTTTTCACTTTTCAGCTTTCATGTAGCACTTGGTTAGCACCTTTCTATGTGTGTGTGTCTCTGTATATGCACATATGTAATAGTTTGTGTGTATATTCTTCCCAGTAGCCATGAAGTATAGAGTATGTTGTTCATTTTTGTATCCTGAGTGTCTATAAGTGCCCAGACATAAAATAGATACTTAAAAGGTTCTTGAATTGAATGAGGATAGGAAAGCCATCCTCTCTAAAGACTTCCAAAGCCTATCACAGTGCTTGGACACTTGATGCTTAGTTTGATACTAAGTTTAACACTTAGCTCTTAATACTGAGTTTGAATTGAAAAATCCTTTGTTTCTACCAGTACCATCAATAAGTGGGAGAAAAAAATAATTTAAGGAAGAAATCATGCATTTTTTGAAGTAAAAAAATCAGTAAATGACCTCAGTGGCATTGGACTAAGAGACTGTTTATTTTCTCTAGAACTCTTGTAACTGATCCCTTTCAGCTTCTCAGTAGCCCTGTGAAGGTGGTGGGGGGTGATGTCTGGTGGGCCCCACTTGTAATCTCCCATGTGCTGGAGAAAGAGACACAGGCCTTTAAAATTGCTTTCCAACAAGTGGTTATTTCAGCAGCTATGTTATTTGGAGCTACATTCCAATGGCAACAGTAGTTTCAGGGAGCCGCATTTCATATGTGTTCAGATGTTCCTCCCTCCCCCCATTTCCCTAGATAACTCTTGCTCTCCTGACTAAAACCATTTTCAAGAGCTTTTTAAAGTGAGTAAAAATATCTATGTATATAATATGTATATGCATGCATATATACACACATATGTCTGTATCATTTAGTTTGTGGTCACTGAAATGAGGCTTAGGTGTGTTGTCTATTTACTTCAGTGATAACTTCTATTGCTGTTAAAACAATGCAGTAGTGGCAGGAGGGCTGGCCACAGGCATGA